ACCAGCTTGTTCACCGGTGTAAGCTGCGGCATTGCTTTAAGCACGCCCACATCAGGATCAGTCTAGGTATAAATATTGTATTTAATTATATAATATATATATTTTTTTTATAGGTCTTTGGACATCTGATTTGTGCCCAAAGGCAGTGCCAAATATTTGATGGGAAGTAGTGATGAGGACACAATGACAGGTCCCAAATCTGAGCCTACTGACAATCTGGCTTGAAAGCGGCGACGATCACAACCCTCTTCACGCGGCCTGGAAGATCTTTGACCCTTTCCACCCCCAGAACCCCCAAAAACCTCATGCCCAGCCCTTCCTTTGCAAGCCCGCTCCTTGCAGCTTTTGCTGGACGCTTCATCGGTGGCCGCTTAGAAGAAGGCCGCTTCATGGCCATGGCTTACGACCAGACAAATCTTTGCCACCAGCCAAATCTCTTGGGAACGCGGCGGCGGAAATCGCAAGTGCTTCCAACACCTCCCAACACCTCCCAACTCCCATACTCAACCTGTCACATATCTAATTATGCAAAGATCGGAAATCCAAAAGACTAACTTTTCTGAAAGGTCTAACTTTTGCGAAAGTTTGTTATATATATGTTGAACGATATGTTTGTTCATGTTTTTTCTTGAAATATAGATTCCTTTTCCTAAAAGATGCTTCAACTGACGGAGAACTGCTGGCTGAAGCAAACTCAAACTAAGTGCTTCTCGCGGCTTCTTCAAATCGATCGCCTAATCATGTCTTGTTTTTCGCTCGGGGCCATTTTGTTAAATTGATGGTTGCCGTAGCGGGTTAGTTTGCAGTATATACTGGTTGAAATCACTCAATGAGGAGTTTCTAGCAATGTTCGTTCAAGGTGCAGCAAAGTTGCTTTCACCTGTTTGCCCCTTCTGCAGTGACAAAGTTGGGTCCTTGCCTAGCCTCATTACATGTGCGAGTTTTAACAGAGCTGGAATGATGGTGACGAAGCCGCTGAGAACAAGCAAATGAGAGATCATCCTGCCAAGCATTGGATCGTCTATTGCCGACGGTTTGCAGGATCTCCTTGTTCCATGATTTTCCAGTGTCATCCTGGAAGAACACACACACACATGACACACACACACACACCACCCAGTGACGAGGCATCAAGTACGGCCTGTTGGTCGGTACCGGTCTTCTCACTGCCTTCATTGGCCTCAAATCCATTGGTGTCGTGACGGCGGGGGAGGACATCGTTGCATTGGGCCACTGGGCCGACCGCGCTGGGGATGGGGGGAAGACGTGTTGGGTTTGTCACAGCAGATCTGGCACCTGGGGTGATAGCACTCTCTTCCTTTGCGCTGGGAACTCTAGGTAGAAGGGTGGCCATGGTAGACCGAGACATGATATCTAGTTCTAGTGGTAGATCCGAGCGACCTGTTGTTCATCAAGATGCGGCCAGCAGCGGCTAGCATGATATGTTAAGCTCTATCTTGTCCAGCGTGCAACTCTAGAGACTCCGGGATCCACATACCCTTAGTCTGCGGTCGGACGGGGGACGCTTTGGACGGTTTCGAGTGATTTGATCAGTTCGACCCAATGCCCTTGCTAATGTCCATTACTAGTAGCTTCTTGTTACTAGTAGTAAGGCCAGGAGCTACTAGTAGCGTCCTTGCTCCTAGTAGCGGTGCCCTTTGCTACTAGTAGCTTCTTGTTACTAGTAGTAATGCACTTGTTACTAGTGCCACGTGCCCAGGTGATTTGAACAGCACAGCCTTTGTGATCTCCGCCGCCTCTTTAGATCCTTGGATTGGCGATGTTCTGTTTGGATCAGGAAAACGGGGGTTAGAGGGCTTTAGTAAACTCCACGAACAGAGGGGCAAGTTTCCAAGAATGAAGATATGTTCACGCGATTTGTTTGACAATTGACTGCAAGTTTAGTAACATTATTGACTTTGCGGGACTCCGAAGATACGAATTACAGTACTAGTACTAGTCCGAATAGCATATAATTGTTCGACCACTCTGAATCGGAGTGTAGAGTTAGTGGGCGACAAGGCGATTCATGGCGATTCTATAGGGTTAATTGACGTGTTTTCTATGCTTTTCCGGGTTAATCTCAAACCCCAATATTCTGGAAATCCTGTACAACTAGACGTTTGACACAAAAACGAGCCTTCAGGAAAGAAATCGCAAGGGGTTTTCTTGGATGAACACTTCTTGTGTTCTTGTGACTGCTTTTTGTGGATTGAAGAAACGTTCAAAAACGTGTCCTCCTTTTCTAGTTTTGCCGCTTCACAGGTCTTCACGGCTTCGCTCCTGTACAATGCGGTCACGGGAGCAGTCTTGCTCGGAAGCCCATCTTTGCTTGGAAGCTTTTCTAGGTCAAACCTTCCCTCTAATCATTAATATGTCGCTTCCACATTTACTTTATTTGGGCATATGAATTACTATTACTATAAATAACCACAGCACCAGATTACCGTGGCAGCAGCAGTTTTTGAAGTAGTAGAAGCAGGAGTAGTAGTAGTAGTAGTAGTAGTAGTTGTTGTAGTAGTAGTTGTTGTTGCTGCGTTGCCCATCCAAGGCATGCTATCTTCCACCCTGATTGCTTGGATCTACTTGGAAACTTGACCAGCGCGATGTCTTTCCAAAGTGCCTGCTGTGGTGGGTCCTTCATGGGAGTTACTCGCAGCCCTTGGGTTTCAAGATGTTTCAAGTCATGTCATAGTTATATGAGGAGATGATTGCTGCCTGGCAACAACCATCTAATTGCTGTAATACAACTACAACTTGAAACCCAAAGAAGGGTGGTTTGCTTTGGTGAGGAGTATATATTATATACTGTATATATTATAGAGATCCTAGAGACGCGGAAGTTAAAACACATTGACGCTGACTGATTGACTTCTGGCAACTGATGTTTTTGTAAATAGGAGGCGTGGAATCAAGCGACAAAACAAGTTTGTTCTTTAAACTCTTTGGATTTAACTAAATACTACCTGCATGGTCTCATATTTTGTGGAGCAAATCCAGCAGCTATGGATGAGTAACACGATCTTTGAACATGGGGCACAAGGTCAAAGTGCTTTCATGGCAGAAGAGCCTCCCCTTGTTGTTCGAAAAGAAACGATGTCCTTGATTTTCACCCACAGACATTAATTACCGCATAAATGTCCCCCTCAGCGAATAGCCTGTGAATCTTTGTAAGCCGGTCGCGTCCCATTCTTTACACTCCAACTTGGACGTGAAAAGACTTGTACCGCAACCTGCGGTGCCTTTGTGGCTGGACCGTCGATGTCAACATAGGTCGTCCACTCATCATCTCAGGATGATTGGCCAACCAAGATCTTCGCACTGCAAGGGCTCAGCTTTTCCATGCCGAACTTCGATGCTCTTAGCCAACAGCAGGCCGACATCGGCAGTTGCTGGTCCCAGGCTTTGGAAGATGGATCATTCACAACAGTATACCGATACCGCCAATACCCTGAGAGTATTCCAAGAAACCATTATATATATATATACACATTTTTTTGTTCAGTTCTTTTGCAATTCATTTGTGTTTCAACTTTGTGGAACCCTTGTAGCAAAAGAATCACAGGTTGGTCGTAACTTGTTTTGCAATCCGCAAGCTTGGTTATTAAGCGACGACCCATTCTCAGGTGGTTTTCGGTTGTGCACGAGTTTGGGCTTGCCACAGATTCTTTGTAACCTGAACTTGGAGAGTCGTCGGACCTCAAAGTTGAAGACATGTCACCGATGTGATGCCGAGATCAGCACTTCCTGTTTGGTACAATAATACTGATCCTATCCCCGCTGCGATCGTTTCGAGTGATCAAATAATCTTTATAACGACATCTACGCTTTCTTTTTGGTTTGGTGAGTGGGATTGAGACGGCCAGATGGTGTTAGATTTGTTGTGTGTGCCGCCTGAAACGCAAGAGCTTTTTTGAGCTGCACGTGTCAGAAAGCACTCACCTGCCAAAGAAGTGCACGCGAGCAGTGATGTAAGTGCAGTCCTGAGCACCAGGTTCAAAGCAAACGAAGGGAGACCCTCCCTCTCACGAACATGCCTGCAGAGGATAATCTTCCCAGTGGCCATGTCATGTTCCACTTCCATAAGCTAAATATGGTCTCATTTAGTCTCTATGTACACATCCGGTGCACATCATGCTTGAGCATCCCTGCTGGGATGCTTCTCCAGCTGGGAGGCTTTCTCCGAGATCGCGTCCTTGATGCTCATGTTACTCTTCTCCCTCAGTGGGGCCATAATTGGAACCGCCAAGATGGCGGGGCTGCTGCAAGAAGATGGTGGCGTCCGAGGGAGCACCGCAGTCTACATGAGCCTTGGAGCTCAAAAATGGTTGGGGAATCATGGGGAATTCCGCCTCTTGCACATTCGCAACATCCGCGCTGGAAAAACACAAAAACCGATGGCCCCAAAACCTAAGTTACTTAGCCTACATAGCTAAGTACACTTAGCAAGTGAGCTAAGTACACTTGGCTCAGTGTGCTAAGTACACTTAGCTAAGTGTGCTATGTATATATACCTAGCATGTCAGCGCTACGTAACTTCGCAGACTTGGGCTAAGTCGGCCAAATTGGATGCCATCTAGGCTATCGTGCCATCTACATGGGCCGGTCATCCAAGAATCTACTGAATCTACGGTGTTGGGTGTTTTTTTGTCGGAGCAAAGGATGGTTCAATCCGCAGGCACTTAGTGTGACCGTAGCGGAAGTAAAAGAATCATGTTATATATTTGTAATTAACAGCTTTAGGGTGAATGTTCAGCCGGAGCATGAGGTTGCGTAGTAGAGAAAAACGGTGTTTGATATGTGCCTAAAAGGGATTTGTTTTTCAATCGTCGATGCACTTTGATGGTTGACCTTTATCGTACAGCTGCTTCTCGTACACTACATCATTATACTCATTATATCATATTATATATCATTACTGTATATTATATATCAATTAAACAATATATATATATAGTTATATATATATATGTACTGTACATACGCATGTACATAGCCAATATCCCCAACACACCCTGACTCGAAGCATGAGCTCGACGCACCAGGTCTATATCATGATAAGAACTAGTAGCCGGTTTGCAGGTCATTTGCCGTTTTTTTGCGCATCGGCAAACTTGGGCCAGTCTTTGTAAGCCTTTCTTGGGACCCGACAAGCGGTGTTCGGGCCTCATTCACCATTCAGGCAAATTTACTTTGGTACTTTATTGTTGGTTCTGATTACAAGTGTAACATGCTACAACTTGTGGTTGCAGCTGGATTGTCGGGGGTTCCTTCATCCAACCTTCGTCCCCAGCAGCCACATCGCACAAAAGCGCACATGTTTCACTGCCTGGGTCCGTGCACATCAGTGACTTTAGGTCCAGTGGACTGGGAACCCTACTGGCAGCCTTCCTTGGCACCTCTCCGATCTTCGTGCCACGAAGGCAATGGGCTTTTGACAGAAAACTCTTTCGAGGAACATCACTTAGTACTGCAGCAGACCATGCAGCGTGAGGACCTCCAAACAAAGACCTCGAAGCAGAGAGATGCCAAGTGGCTTTACAGGACCCTCCCGGGCCATCAGGGACATATCCATCGAAGCTCAGGACATGTGAAAGTGTGTGATAGTAGCTATTCACAAACCCTACACAGAGGACCAAAGGATGACAGTGGAGTTCCGGCGGAGGAGCTTCCACCCCGAAACAAATCGCCCACTCATCATTCACTGGGATTGCTGACCCTTTGTATCCCTTCATCACTTCAAATGGGCAATTTGTAAGACGATAACAGACAACAAAGACACATCATGAACCGTAATAAGATGTAATAAGATGGTGAATAATGAGTGTCATGCTTATGAGTCTATAAGCTATTTATATGTAGTAGTTTGTTTGCAGTCTATTGACATTTTCAGCTTTTCTTGAAGGATCTTGAAGGATTTGCATCATCGATTGTTCATTGATCAATTGGTCAGGCGGAAATCATGATAAGAAGCCAACGGCCTGACAACAAGACCCGGAGCATCCTCTCTAATTGATTGGCACTTTTTGGATCTGGAGCCCTTCTATCATTTTCTATCCCCCGGCCGTGCCCGATCCAACCCCTTCAGACATGGGGGCAGCAAGTTTCCTCCAGGGTCCGGGTCCGCACGAGTTTTGGGACTCATCTACCAAACGAAACAACAAACAGCTCAGGTGAGCATGTCCGCCGCCGCGGGTGTGCGCGATGGAGGAAGGACAGTGTGGGGATTGCCCCACCCCTGGTGGTCGACTGGTTGTTTCTGGTTGGGGTTCGATGAAACAGACAGTGACACACGCACACACAGAGTTGTTGTGTTTGCATGACTTGATTTCGACAGCATTCGTGCAGGTTGTGTTGTGTAGGTCTGTCATGCTCGTCAATGTGATATGCATTCTGAGACAAGTGTTTGCTTGGGAATTGCTCAGCCAGGACCGGATTGGTGTCCTTGGTGATTGGTGTCTATTCCCTGCTGACAGCTTTCGTCCTCTCACCACTGGCATCTGCCATTCCCGAATGTACCTGCACAAGAGATGGGTGCTGGGTGTGAGGGGGCGTGGCCGTGGCCTGAAATTTGTCCATGAAAGTTGTTTTGTGGGCGGGAGATGAAGCTGCTACTATTGAACTGACATCCTCTTCCAGCTTTTGACCGCTGCAAATACGATCGCATCGAAGTCCAACAAGTCCCTCTTTCTTTGTTCCTGTTTGGCCATGTACAAAAGGGGAAGGGCCGGCCGATCAAGCAAGTACTAAGGATCAGATGCATTGAATTACTCATTTAAGGATCAGTGAAGGCCAAACATGCAAACATGTGCAAGGTTGACAGCTCCTTCAATGTGTTTTGAGATGAGATGTTCTGAGTACATTTTAATACATTTAAACTATGGCAGTTTCGAAGTTTTGCCACAAATGAAGGCCTGGAATTAGAACACCGACGTCGAAATACAAGTGCTATCAGACACAGCATACCAGTGCTTTCAGACACAGCATGTTTCTTTTGTGGATAATTATGATAATTACATCTCCATCAAGAGTGTTGGTTGCAACGTCTCGCATTGTGGCGGCTCGGATAAAGAAGTGAACAGATGTTGAACGTCACAACACATTTAAACTTAAACGAATACAAAGATGTAAAACTCAAGGCAATTGCAACACCAAGTGCTCCCCCACAGCTCCGTTTTGGGAGGTAGCAAACCTTGCAAACCCCAATACCTGAGGGAGCGGTTGTTTTTTGTTGATATGTGTCATTTTCTTTCTTGTTCTGTTGGTGTTCCTGTGCACTGGCAAGGCTTCAGGTTTGGAGTTGTAGGACTAGTTATATAGGCGGCCTCCCTATATCTTTGTTTTATGACCCTGGAATTCACATTAAACACCGATTCCGGTGTGCATGATGGCAGCCACGCCTCATTCTGATGCACAAGCAGAAAGATCAGTTTCATCTTGAAACAACCTCATGGCCCCAGTTTAATCTGCAGAAGACGCGGCTGTGCTGAGGTGCAATTGCACCCGTGCTAGTGCTGGTGGGTGTTTCGATGACTGGGGAGGCAAGGGAGATCCAATGGTGGAACATGCTGGATGCACTACCAGCCTTTCTCTGCGCCTGGACTGCACTGGTATGACCAGTATCATAGTCATCTCTTTACTTCCACGTTCAATATGTGTAGTCCTATGCCTATACCCTAATGGTCCCCGTAGACGGGACTAGTAGGCGAGAGAGCATAGGAGCATAGGTAAAGAACATCAAATAGCTGCATTGATTCTGACTGTAGTTTGGCTGTAAACATAGTGGACATGGCATGTCGTAAAGACAGACAAAGCAGGCGTACTGATGCCCTACAAACTTGGATGTTACTCACGTTTCCCACACATCTCGAGATCTCCTGGTTGCTCAACCAACATCTCACCCTCTCCCCCAACATTAAGTATCCTTGTGGAGAAGTTTGTTTGACCAACTGTCTTCAAGCTCCGCCCCAGGGTTGATGCCTTTCTCAGATGAGAGATGGTCCACAAGGAAGTGTCGTTTTGTTTCTGTCCTCCACTTCACAGTGCTTCTCCCCAATCAGCAAAGCCAAGGCGAGGATTCCCTAGGTCCTATGACCATGTTTGCCCACTCAAACAAAAGGAGCCAACCGGGGCAATTGCATGGAGTTGAGCGGTTGGAGCTTCGAGGTGCAGTCTTCCAGCCCTTCACGTATAGCGTCTCCAATGGGATCTACGCAGGTGTCGCCGCTCGGATCCCATCGAGCGGACGTTGTTCAATCGGATCCAGGATTGTAAGCGTGGACTTGCCTCAGTCAGCCTACCATGGAAACGGAGCTAGTTGGAGCCCTAATCATTTTAAGATGTTGTTTTATATGGGAACAGAACACCGCCTGGCCTTGTCTTTAGAGTCCCAGCCCGCTTTGGTGCATCATGAACCAGACGCCTGCGTTTCTCCAATGATCTCCGCAGGATATCAGTATGATATCAATGATCCCCATTGGTACTAGGTGAGTTCAGCCCAAACGGAAATGTTGCACCAAGACTTTGTTTTTTTTTTGTTTCCCAGGTAGCTGCAAGCTATAGGGGTTCTTACTTCTCAATGGTGTGGCTCTGGCTCGGCGTTTCGCTTTGCCCGCGCTGGTGCTGGTCCTAGTGCTGGATCGGCGTTTTCTGGGCGTGCTGGTGCAGGTGCTGGTGTGGGTGCTGGTGAGGGTGCTAGTGCTTGCACCGCTCATTGACAACGAAAGCTATTAGACATTGGGATTCTTTTTCCCTCAGGCACTATGAGCTTTTTCCCTATGCACCCACTATCTGGGGTCTATGTCAGTGTAATTTTGTTCACAGTGCCCAACTGGCCAGCTGGAATTTAGCCCAGCGGCCTGGGACCTCTCAAACAATGATTAGGTCTAAGATCAACATGATCAACTCGGAGTGCGGCTCTGTCCTCGAATCATTTAAGCTTGATGCGCCTTTTTGCACATGTATGTTCACTTTTGGCCTTTGCCGAGGCCATGTCCTTCATCCTCTTCTTTACAACTGGAAGTTTCCTGGCGTACATTCCCTCCTTCCAGAAGACAGACCCTTGGCAGAAACAGGGCCCTTTTGGTGGGCCACGGAAGCACAGCGACCAGAGGTTTTCGAAGTGACTGAGGTGCAGAGATCAGGAAAAAGACGGATCAATGAACAATCAATGGGGTCACATGGAAACATCCAATTCACTCCAATTGACCTCAACGTACTTCCAGTCCGATGGATGGTTTGCTATGGATGACTCAACACCGTCTTCCAACCACTTTCTGGATGTGGTTGCCATCGCCCAAGGGTAGCTAATGCAAGCAGAAAAAATACGTTTTCAGCAGTCTGGAGTTTGTGCGACCCCGTCAGGTGCAACAGCTTTCAGATTTCTGCACAACATCCTCAAGAGAATGTTTCTTCTGCAGAGGCCTAGATCAAGAGCTACTGTTTCAGTGGGCCCTGATATGCGGTTGTGGGTTTACAAATTTATTATACAAGCTTCAACACGCCCGGGCGCAGAGACTTGACGCTTTCAAAGTCCAAGGGCTTGAGCAATCGGATTTCGTTTCAGGAGCCCCGCGGGCTGGTGGAGGAAGTGAGCGCCATGATCGAACATTCCCCGCAGCAACGATCCTCGGTGGTGAATGTGGCTTAATTTCGGGTACTGTACCCATAGCAATTATGGAAACGCGGTGGTTCTATAATTAGTTGCCATGCCTAAAGTTTCGTGCTTCTTGGACTGAACACATGCACGCACACACACACATATATGTGGTTACATGTGGTACATGTGGTTGCAGATGGTGGTGTTAAGATCCCAATGATCACTGACTATACAAACGGCGTGTCCCGACATGTCGGGTGGGCACTTCAGACCCCCTGCACCTGCACATGAACACGTCAAAGGATGAATGTGTATCATGCATCTCCCTGGAACCCAGTGAGCAACACAGGAACCTGGTGATGAACACAAGACAACAGAAGTTGCATCTCTCACTTGTTTGCAGCAAGAAACTCAAACAATTACCCGCAGTATCAGAGTTCCGTTCTGGATAAACAGCCAAGAGCAACGGTAGAACAAAAACAGTATGTTTTGGAAAGATTGTAACAATGTAATACATTGGTTGATAAGAGACTTCCCTGGTTGTGTTGAAATTACCAAATCTCTCGAGGCGTGCACATTACTTTGGTTAGGCAAATTAGTGTCACTGATGAATCCTGATGGGCATGCATTTGTTGGCCAATGGCGGATTTGGCACTAGGGAACCTCTTGGAACATTTGGTTGTGTATGTTTGCCGTATGTGGCTCTTGCTTCCCAAACTCAGATTGTACATTCTCTTCCAAGGAGAGACATACATACCTTTTACCCCCCCACAGACTAACATGAACCCTGAGAATTGGCCCGCGGAAGACCTATTCAAAGTCTTAAGGTTTGACAGCAAACGTACTTTTTCCTTTGCACAAGGCAGTCCAAGTGCCTTTGTGCACTCCCCATTTTCTCCGGAATATTGCAGATGTCGCCAAACACTTCGAGCCCGGGCGCAATATGTTTCCATCAAGGTTACTCGAGTCCCAAAGTGGTCCCAGAAGAGGAGGACTCGGATGTTGCACCAGTAAGGCAAGGGCATCTCGGCCGCGACAAAAGCATGTTTGATGGACAGTTTTTACATGCTGTTGTGAATTCAGGTGTCTATTGGAACAGGATGACCCAAGGCCAAGGCCAATGGATTTTAGTCGATCTCTTATCTTCTTTTTGTGAGAGGTCTTTGGGAAGTAGAGAACTTTCCTAAAGTTGAGACTTCTTGTTGGATGTTGCATTTTTCTTTGCTTTGTGGTTTTTGTCATTGAACCCTCCAAACGCCAGTGGCTTGTGTCGTTTCTGATCGTTTCTGATTGATTGCGGCTCTTTGGGGTCTCCTCTCTTGAGACTTGAGACAAATGATTGTCCCCAAACAGTGTGTGCACACTAGGGGTTCTTACGGTGGGTGTTAAGGACGGGTGTCTGATCGGAGGTGCTCATCGGCGTTTGCGACCAATTCGCTGCTATTACAGTACATTCATTCACCTCGGAATCTTCGAAGTGCATTTTGACTGTGCAGGCTCGCAGAATCTGGTGGGCGCAGGCGGGCGCTCTTCAAGACTTTTCGTGGCAAGGGCTGTTCACGAACTGGTGGTGATGGTGGTGGCGATGAAGGTGGTGATGATGGTGGTGGTGATGGTGATGACGGTGGTAAGCTCTCATGCCGGGCTGCCAAAGCTCGGTGGCGCGCCTCCAAGTGCTCCACTGCTCCACAGTGAAGCCATACCAGGCCAGCAATTCTGATGAGCTACACGTGGCAGCTAATGGACAAATTCAGGAGGCTTGTCATTGTGTAGTTCCAGGAAGCCGTCCATCCTTCACCGCAATGGACGTCCTGTACTGACCTGAGTGGTCAACACCAGCGTGATCCAGTCCATCACCGTGTGCGCAAACAAGCACCTCTCTCTGGAGCCCAATGCGTCTAGATCTCTAGACTTTCTGCTTCTACACCCTCTAGACCTCAGACAGGTAAACAGACTGTTTGGGATCTTTTGCCGGGATAGTTTCAGGTGGACAAAGGGAGGCCCACCAGTGGAAACCTTTTGACTAATCTACACGCTGATGCGAGGATAGCAAGTACTTCGTCAGCAAGTGCTGGTGTTTGGTGACTGACCTCTGCACAAAACCCACCAAGGCTCATTCACCTTGGCCTGTCTGGCAAGCAAGAGGCAGGGCTGAGGACAGCTGGGAAGCGGACGAGAGCAGACGAATGACGTTTGTCGACCAGGTTTAGTGCAGCAGGCATAGGAGAGTATGAAGTTTTCATGTTTTGCCAAGTGGTTTGGGTGTATTATCCCGGTTTTTGATGGTTTTTGACCACTTTTGCTTGATGGGGCCACTCTCCTTGAACAAACAAATAGCATCAAATAACTGCTATAGCTGTTCCATTTAGCCCTGCTTTCCTCAGTTTGACGTGCGACAGGGGATGATGTTTGTTGTTGGTTGGCCAACAAGGATTCCAAATTAAAAGTGGGGGGCTGCCAAGCATTTGTGACCCGTCCAAAGTCTCGGGGAAGCACACGGGAGTCCAAGATCCACGTGACCCATGGGCATTGATTAGAGGAACGCTGTTCATGACGGCCATCATCTGAGCATTCACTTTTATTTGGTGTTGACTAACGTAGTCTACGACATGCTTTATGTGTTAGTCCAACAGTATTCTTTGGTGAATGAGATAGGGCCCACACGTGAATGAAATATGTTTTTTTTGATGACACTAAAATTGTCTGAACGAGATACTGTGATTTGCTACTAAAACAGTCCGAACAAAGTATAAATTACTGTGACATGACATGACCTGCTACTAAAGCAGTCTAAACGAGACAGGGCCCCCCACATAATAGATAGCGTATTTTTTAAGGCAGCAAATAGATGCCGTTCCTCATGCAGAAGAAGTGATTACTGTATAGTTGTATATACGTGAAGATACAAAATGATGCAATGATAGGAGTACCAGTAGTTTTTACCAATCATCTCTTGCAAGTTTTTTCCTTTGGGGATCGTTGGCCTGGCAGGAGCCAAATCACTTTCAGTGAGTCGTTTAATAAGAATGATGCGACAGACATGGGCACGGTTCATGTCAAAACCTTTTGTATGGTTCTCTTGTTGAGGTGGTAAACCGCACAATAGCCTTTTAGGGTTCACCTGAGATACAGAGGTTTGGTCCATGCTTTTGTGTCCCCCACCAAGCTCCCCTTTCAGAGGCACTTCACCTCCTGGCACCTTGGCTGTGCAGCCCAGAAACAAGGTCCAGGGGGCCACATGAGTGGCCACATGATGCCTTTTGATATGTTTCAGGACAGTTGATGGTCGATCCATGTCTATGTTGAAGAGAACACATCTCAACAAATCGTCTTGAACTGTGTGGTTCAAATTCCAAGTTGGTGCATGTTGGTGTTGGGATAAGACTTGGAGGTGCCCGGAGAACCAGAACCCCAGCAGTTGTACAAGTCCCGCAGTCTTCCAGACTTTTGTTACAAGGCTTCCATTACCCATGGACAAATGATGTGGCCAAGGTCAGAGAATGTCATTGGAATGGCATGTAGTAATTTGATGTAATTTGATTTGAGGGGTGACTTCGAAGGTTCAACGCAACGAGAGACAAGCTAATACGTCCATCCACTTCCGATTGAAACATGTCTTGTCATTGTCTTCTTGCAGACAGCGACCTCGGAGGAAAGTGCTGCGGAGATGTTGGGATTGGACTCTAAGAAGATGATGGAGGTCCAATTGTTGCTGAGAGAAGAGTCGGAGTGCGGAGAGAAAAACCATGTACCGTGGGGCATGTTCACCACCGAACACCACTTTTTGAGCCCTTTGGTTCACGATTCTGTTCATTTTGTGTGTGTTTCTCGTTTGGAACGGTCTTTGTTGAAGAATTTGATGATATGTTTGTCTATCCAAGGGCATGGGAGTACTGGCCAAGGGATTGCTGGCTTAAAAGTACATCGCAAGAGTCTACCTGCCTTGGGCGTCCTAGCCAAACGCGATGTCTTCAGGTCTCGAAAGGGAGCATGTTTGGACCAGTGAATGCTCTCGTCCAGTGAAAACAAGGATTTTCTTGCAGTTCATGCGTGTGCGTGAAGAAGGAGCGCCACGCTTTCTGTTGCAGCTCGCTGTTTGTCAGCGCTACATTGCTACATCTCAGGGGCTTGCTGTTGCTTGATTTTTGGTTCGTTCTAACAGACAACCCACAAAGTGTTCCATCAGACACTGTGTTGTCAGGTGGTTCTCGAACGCTTGGACGCTGGCCGGAATGTGGAGTCACATTACATGGGCGGAATCCCAGGCCGGTGCTGCTAGTCATCCGTCGATTGGACATGCAGCATGTCTGCATCCGTCGAAAAAATGGAACCAGTCTGGTCTCCATTTTGGACTCCCCATTGGTCTCCGTGCCAGAAATATGTTTCCTAGTCCGTGCCAGAATTCAGCGCAGTCGGAAATAAGGTTTCATCCATGCAGTATTCAACTGCACACTGCACGCGTCACATATTTAAAACAGAAGGTTGCAGGACTGGTCTGAACGAAACCTACCCAGCTCCATTTTCAAGATGGAACCTCTTAAATCAAACTCAAGGCGCAACTAATTGTAACTACACTGTAAACACCGCACGTGAAGTCTCACAATGCATCCAAGACACCAAGAGGACTTGGCTGAGGCTTGACGTATGATGGAAAGACCCCAACCAACCCGAATCCCAAGTGGAAGCTTCTAATATATGACGCAGTCATCAGAAGCAAACTACCGTACAGCTTGGAAACATGGCTCTTTACGCAAGAAAGGGACCTCAAAAAGGCCCTGCGGATGCAAGTAACATAAACAGAGAGAATACATGAGAATACCAACAAGGGAGTTTATCAAGCCGCGTCAGATATTGCTTTCCCACTAGGCAATGGCCGTTTCAAACTTTTTGGTGAAAGACGCATTGAACTTGCTGGAATCCTCCGATCCTTCAAGGTAGACATCGACCTGTCAGTACCTGTCACCTGTCAAACCAATTACAAAGACGTGTTGGCCGACCTAGACAACAATGGCCTTGTAGATCCAACATCCCTACCTCACTAACCATGGTTTTTTGGGGGGGACCTCCCAAAATGTAAGTTACAATTTTCGGGGGGTCCCCAGCCCAAAAAAAACTGTAAGTTAGGGACCCCCCAGGTATGTACGGTGAACTGTTTGGGAGGGGGTGGGGGGGGCTTAGTAAATGTAACATTGGGACCTCCCACGTGGGTAACTTACATTTTGAGACTTCGGATGTCTACTTAATTATTGCGGGGGGGGGGCAATGAAAAATGTAACTAAGGGGGGATTCATTCAATATTAATCAATTTTATTTCTATTTTATAAGCGGTCTTTGCAGCTAGTGGTGACCCCACCTGGCAAAGCATGCATGAGATACCGCGCCGCGTCGCATCAAATTGAGGATTTTGTCGCAACCAGTGACCACTACGAAGACCCCCTTCCTGTGGTGGTGCGTCTTTTTGCTCTTCTCGATCTCGTCCATGAGTTCAAAGAACAAAGACATTCTTGTCGACAGTGAGAGCCACGTGTGCTTCTCCTGGGAAGGCTACAGAATGTCACAGAGCCCAAAGATCTAGAACGCTTGGAATTACAATGTAAAGGCTGAAACCCAAACAAAAAATGTAAGCTATGAAAGCGGTAGGTGAAACATATTTTGTGAAATACCAGGAAATGGAAGGCAATCTCAGAACGCTGGATACAGCACGGCTGGGTAGTACAACGTAGCCTCATAGCTCAATCGTGAGTGAAAACTAGGACATGCTAGGACTAAGCCATGCAAAAGACCAAGAATGCCTGGAACGTAAAAGTGGAATCCCAAATGAAAAATGTAAGCTATTAAAGGGGCAGGTGAAAAGCATGCTGTGAAACACCATGAAATGCAAAGCAATCTCAAAACGCTGGGTAATGCACGGCTAGCTGCGTAGTAGATCATAGCTTGGTAGCGAGTGAAAGCTAGGACCAAGCAACTCAATAGGCCAAGAATGCCAGGAACGTAACAGTAAAAGTCGAAACCCAAAAGAACAATGCAAGTTATGAAAGGAGAAGTTGAAAAGCATCGCTACGAAATGCCAAGGCAATCGGAAAATGTTGGGTAGTACATCATAGCTTGGTAGTGAGTGAAAGCTAGGGCTAAGCCTGGAACGTAAAAGATCCCAAAAGTTGAGACCCGCATGAAAAAGTAAGCTATTAAAGGGGCAGGTGAAAAGCTTGGTGTAAAGTACCATGAAATGTAAGGTAATCTCAAAACATCTAAAAACGCTGGGTAGTGCATAGCTGCGTAGTAGATCATAGCTTGGTAGCGAGTGAAAGCTAGGACCAAGCAAATCAATAGGCCAAGAATGCCTGGAAGGCAAACGTTGAAACCCAAATGAAAAATGTAAGCTATGGAAGGGGCAGGT